TGCACATATTTTATATGATAATATATAATATAATTATTGTATATAACCCAAACACCAGTTGCACATATTTTATATGATAATATATAATATAATTATTGTATATAACCCAAACACCAGTTGCACATATTTTATATGATAATATATAATATAATTATTGTATATAACCCAAAAACCAGTTGCACATATTTTATTTGATAATATATAATATAATTATTGTATATAACCCAAACACCAGTTGCACATATTTTATATGATAATATATAATATAATTATTGTATATAACCCAAACACGAGTTGCACATATTTTATATGATAATATATAATATAATTATTGTATATAACCCAAACACCAGTTGCACATATTTTATATGATAATATATAATATAATTATTGTATATAACCCAAACACCAGTTGCACATATTTTATTTGATAATATAATTATTGTATATAACCCAAACACCAGTTGCACATATTTTATTTGATAATATATAATATAATTATTGTATATAACCCAAACACCAGTTGCACATATTTTATTTGATAATATAATTATTGTATATAACCCAAACACCAGTTGCACATATTTTATATGATAATATATAATATAATTATTGTATATAACCCAAACACCAGTTGCACATATTTTATTTGATAATATATAATATAATTATTGTATATAACCCAAACACCAGTTACACATATTTTATTTGATAATATATAATATAATTATTGTATATAACCCAAACACCAGTTGCACATATTTTATTTGATAATATATAATATAATTATTGTATATAACCCAAACACCAGTTGCACATATTTTATATGATAATATATAATATAATTATTGTATATAACCCAAACACCAGTTGCACATATTTTATATGATAATATATAATATAATTATTGTATATAACCCAAACACCAGTTGCACATATTTTATATGATAATATATAATATAATTATTGTATATAACCCAAACACCAGTTGCACATATTTTATTTGATAATATATAATATAATTATTGTATATAACCCAAACACCAGTTGCACATATTTTATTTGATAATATATAATACAATTATTGTTTAACACCAAACACCAGTTGCACATATTTTATATGATAATATATAATATAATTATTGTATATAACCCAAACACCAGTTGCACATATTTTATTTGATAATATATAATATAATTATTGTATATAACCCAAACACCAGTTGCACATATTTTATTTGATAATATATAATATAATTATTGTATATAACCCAAACACCAGTTGCACATATTTTATTTGATAATATATAATATAATTATTGTATATAACCCAAACACCAGTTGCACATATTTTATTTGATAATATATAATACAATTATTGTTTAACACCAAACACCAGTTGCACATATTTTATATGATAATATATAATATAATTATTGTATATAACCCAAACACCAGTTGCACATATTTTATTTGATAATATATAATACAATTATTGTATATAACCCAAACACCAGTTGCACATATTTTATTTGATAATATATAATATAATTATTGTATATAACCCAAACACCAGTTGCACATATTTTATTTGATAATATATAATACAATTATTGTATATAACCCAAACACCAGTTGCACATATTTTATTTGATAATATATAATATAATTATTGTATATAACCCAAACACCAGTTGCACATATTTTATTTGATAATATATAATATAATTATTGTATATAACCCAAACACCAGTTGCACATATTTTATTTGATAATATATAATATAATTGTTGTATATAACCCAAACACCAGTTGCACATATTTTATTTGATAATATATAATACAATTATTGTATATAACCCAAACACCAGTTGCACATATTTTATTTGATAATATATAATATAATTATTGTATATAACCCAAACACCAGTTGCACATATTTTATTTGATAATATATAATACAATTATTGTATATAACCCAAACACCAGTTGCACATATTTTATTTGATAATATATAATATAATTATTGTATATAACCCAAACACCAGTTGCACATATTTTATTTGATAATATATAATATAATTATTGTATATAACCCAAACACCAGTTGCACATATTTTATTTGATAATATATAATACAATTATTGTTTAACACCAAACACCAGTTGCACATATTTTATATGATAATATATAATATAATTATTGTATATAACCCAAACACCAGTTGCACATATTTTATTTGATAATATATAATATAATTATATATTATCAAATTAAAATCAGTTGCACATATTTTATTTGATAATATATAATATAATTGAAAGTTGTAGTAGTTCGAAAACTACTGATAGCATATACATTGCGTAGTTTTTCTAGGTAAATAAACAAAATAAAAATTTACAAATCATATAGCTCTAGATATTTATCAATGCAAGTTTAGAATAAGTTCAAGCTTTTGCTTCTGATGATAAAATATGGTAGTTTGTTCCACATTGATGAGACTCTATTGGTTAATAGTTGATAACAAAGATTGTAGTTTTTAACAACTTCTCTTCTGATTTTGAAATTATGGCTCCTTGTGTTGAGGCAAAAATATTACTATCTAATTCTATATTATTAATTTTTATAAATAGCTTGTACATTTGAACTAAATCGCCTCTTTTACGTCTTTTTTTTCCAATGTGCTCAAGCCAAGTATTTTAATTCTTGTTTCATGACTTTGTTTTCAAATCAGGGGTATCCATTTAGTTTCATAACGTTATATATATTATATATAAAACTGATTGTTGTTAAAGCTAATTGTTGGATTGTTTTTCTTTGCTCATATTTTCTCATATGCAGCCGAGATCTTTAAGATTAGTTTTAATTTTTGTTACTAGCTTAAATAGGTGACAAAACTTTAAAACCAGAACAGGTTTCCTATCATATAGAAAAATTGGTGACAGCCTTTATAAAACCAAAAAGACTTCCATTCATCCATGGCCTAGAAATTCACCATATATGAATCCAATTCAAAATATAAGGATAATCAGACACAAAGAACTTCGCAGCACTTACAAACTTAAAAATCATATTAACTGATGTATGGGTACATAACCCTAAAACCAAGAAATTTAAAAATGTATTGAAGAGTTTGTTTAAACAATAAATGTACATCAAAATACTTTTGTTACTGTACATTTTTTAAACAGTATAAAAAAATTATTTCATATGAGATCATTGTTTTTGTTGTTCCTGATATTTTTCATACTTCTATATACACTCAGCAAAACTTTCTCATAAAATCCTAAGTTCCATGCAGAACATGAAATTATTTTGGGTTAACCAAGATTGCGGCTGTTTTTCAAAACTGATTTCAGTGTTTCATTTTCGCATAAATGAAAGTTATTTAACCCAAAAACTAAAATATCCTGGGTGGATCCAGGATATTTTGGTGTTTGGGTTAAATAACTTTCAAGTAAGTCCAAACTCCAAACTTTTATATGCTTATACCTATGTCATTAAAGAATATTTTGCCAAAAACTGTGCAGATTAGAGCCTGGGAACAAAAATGATCTAAAAAAGTATCACCTGTCCAAATGTGAGGGGAATTTTCTGAGAAAAATAAATTACTTCCCTTAATAAGACTGAAACATATTTGAAATTTCATTAAAAATCATCTGGCATTCAAAAATTATAACTATTTAAAGTTTACAATCCTCAAATGAAAGGAGCATAAATTTAAATTGGGTATAATTTCTAAACAAAATATTATTTTTCAATAAATCTTGATGTTTCCACCTAGTTTAGGATATTAGAATTTCTATTTTGAAAAACTAATTCCTCATACAATTGGGTGGCTGTTGCCTACTTTTTCAGGCATTTTTAAAAAAATAAGATATCATAACTTTAAGGGATGCTTTGACAGAATTTATACACAAACAAACATCTGTGCACACTCAAATATATATATATATATATATATATATATATATATATATATATATATATATATATATATATATATATATATATATATATATATATATATATATATATATATATATATATATATATGTATATACAAACTAGAAGGATTTTGAAAGATTAAAAAAACAACAAGAGACTGAATCAATTAAGACTCAATAATATTTGATAAAGGAAGATGAGTTCTCCAACACACCTCTTACTAAATAACCAAAGCAACAATCAGCAAACAACCAAAGCAACAATCAGCAAACAACCAAAGCAACAATCAGCAAACAAAAACAAAATTCTAACAACATCAGAATTTAAATCAGCTTTCAGGCTGAGTTCTCAAAAAACTTATGACATTTTTTTAGAGATAAACTCAAAAACTCAACAGCAATCGAAGAAGTCCTGTTATGATTTGTTACTGTTGTTCTATTTGATATCAATCATGATTTTATCTTAAAATGACATTTAAAAATAAAAATAAGTTTTAACAACTTGTGACATTAAATTTTTGATATTGAAATGTCTCTAAAGAGCAACATTTGCTAAATCAAGTAAAGATTAAAAAAAAAGATATTTTTATATCGTTTCAACCATTTTGTTATTGCTTGAAATAAAATATTGCTATTTTAATTTTTCAATTTTACAATATAATTTATCCAAATATTCAATCCAAATATAATTTATCCAAATATTCAATCCAAATATAATTTATCCAAATATTCAATCCAAATATAATTTATCCAAATATTCAATCCAAATATAATTTATCCAAATATTCAATCCAAATAAAATTTATCCAACTATTCAATCCAAATAAAATTTATCCAACTATTCAATCCAAATAAAATTTATCCAACTATTCAATCCAAATAAAATTTATCCAACTATTCAATCCAAACAAAATTTATCCAACTATACAAAAAAAAAAAAAAAAGATTAAAAAATGCTTATTTATTCAAGGCTTAATAGAATAAAATTTAAAAAATCTTTAAAAAAAAAAAACTTTACCTATCAAGTTTTTTTAAATTATTACAAAAAATTACCAATTGTTCTTCAGATCCAACATCTTTTAGATTATCTGGCTGTACAACTAGCAGATTTACCAAAGCAGATAAAACATTAAACAAATGATCCAGCAATGGTATCTAAATGAAAACCGTTAGCTACAGATGTCATAACTATTTTTTAAATGTAGTTTATTTAAAACTAATAGTATAATAAGTTTGTTTACTGGTTCCTAAATTTTCTTTTCTCTGTACGTAAAGAGCTACTGATGCTATCACATGTTATTAATTTATTTCCTTAATATAATTTAACTCTGTACCATAATTTGATTCTCCAACATAATTTGATTCCTTAACATAATTAAAATCTGCAAGCAATCTTAGCAAGCAGTGCTAAGATAGAAATCAATTAGTAATTCGTGTTCAGATTTTTTTTTTTTTTTTTTTTAATTATTCACCTCCCCAAGGCCCGAGGTGGCCACTACAGTTAAGGAGGCTACTAATTTTTTTTTTTTTTTTTACAAATCGTGGTACAACCCTCTCTCAACTCTTTAACTTCGAAACACGAACATTGATAAGCAAGGCCACTGCGCGGAGAAATTAAGTTGAGCGCGGTACTTCCAGGGACGTGGTGGGAGTCGAACTCTGAACCTCTCGCTTACAAAGCGAGCGCTCTTACCACTACACCACTACCGCATATAGATAGCAAATGGATAGCAATTGACACTTAGAAATCAAAGTTCAGATAGTAATCATCATTCTGAAAGCACTTTAAAAAAATGAATAAGATATTTAACTTATTAACAATAAGTTAATTTAGGATTAAAATGTGATGAGGTGGAACTTTTGTTGACTTAAATTTTTTTTTTTAATTTATGTTTTTTTTGATTATATACTTATATACTTCATATTGTATATTAAAAGATAGGTATTCTTGTTAATACCTATCTTTTCATTTTCTAAATTGATGAACTTGAAATGAGAAAATAAAAAGATAGTGGTGAATGAACTATTTAAGTAAGTAAAGCACATTCTAATCAGTTAAGAATAATGAACTATTTAAGTAAATAACATTCTAATCAGTTATAAACAAATATCAATACAATTGTGAAAAACATTTATTCTCAAGTCCTTAATACAAAGAAGGATGAGAGTGGGGTGGGAATAAAGAAGTGGGGGGTTGTTTTATTTTAGTCCAGATCTAATAAGGAGGGGGGGGGGGAAGGTGAGGGGATGGTTTGGATGTGGGGAATTTTTTTATGTTACAATTTAAGTATTTTTTATAAAAAATTTCTGTTAATAAACCCAATTAAATAGTTTTATGCATGTATTTTTTACAAAACATAAATATATATAATGCATAACTATTAAATCTTGTGGTCATATGCGCATTTTCTAACTGCTATTTTATTATAATTTCAATAGGATTTAATATGCTGATATAAGTTTTATACAGGGCTGTGCAGCCGAGGTCTAAAAACTGGCTTTGGCTCCAGGCTCAAGCTCCATTACAATTTTTGGCTCCAGCTCCGGAGCGGCTCCGCAAAAAAAAAAACAAATAATTTTTTTTTTTAATGTTTTATGACAGTAACTTAAGTACTATTAACATTTTGTTAATCAAAATCTTGATTCATCCTGAAAAATAAATTTAAAATATCAGGTTTGAGTGAAGAACGTAGATCGCTCGATAAAAAGTTAAGATAAGAAAATAGCCTCTCTACACCTGCTTGAGAGATAGGTATACAAAAAAAGTAACTGAAATTAATTTTGGTTACACTTCTCATTTTTTCTTTTTTATCATGCTCCTTTTCAAACTCATCCTCTTCTCCATCGGAGTTAGATTCACTTTAAACTAAAAGAAGTACTGTAGATAGCACAGCAGTATTTCTTATTTCTTGACTTTCTATTATATTCTTAGCATTGCTTTTATAAATTTTTTCTGCTATTGTTTTTAAGCCATGTTTTGCTTGTAATATTTGGTTTTCTTCTAATAGTATTCTATATCTAGCATCAACATAAACTGCAGCTAGAAATGTCATTATCAAAAGGTTTTTCTACTTGTTTCTTCATAGATTTTGTAATGTCTTCTGCAAATAGTCCTAGATTCTTCTCTAGGTCAGATTTCAACTTCAACCATTCCTTTACGAACTCTCCTGGAGTAATGTTGATTAACTGTCACATCATGTGGCTTTTTTAAAAAATTGCAAAGATGACTAGATTTATCCCATATTTCAGGGCGTAGAAAGAATATCTGATTAACTGTAGCAAATTGCTCACACTGGACACAAAAGTAATAACCTTTTAATTATCCGGAATGTAGAACCCCAGCGAGTCTCATTATCCAAAATTGAAACAACAACCTTATATTGCTTCCTTGCTGAAAATATTGTATGTAAGTTTCTTAGCTTCTTTACAACATAACGAACTTTTGCCAAAAGTTGGGCAGTTATGTTTTTTTTTAAACCATACAAATAGCTAGCTGCAAAGTGTGAATAACACAGTGTATCAGCTTAATATCATTAGACAATTGTTGACACCATTCTGGGTTGATAAAGGCTAGATTTTCTTCCTGAGCTCCTTCATTTTCTTCTTCATTTGTATCCTGTTTTAAAAACTCCACTTTTTCTTAATCATACAAAGCTTCATCTCATAAATTTTCATCACCTGAATATTTGTTTAAAATTGTGATTGCTCTAATCATATTGGTTACATTGTCTACACTTGCACATACTATTTGAACATTGCTGATACCAAATCTATATGGAGTGTCTTCCACCATTTTTTTGATAGCAATAGGGTTGTGTTGTCCTTGTGTATCTATCAGTGTCAAAATTTTTAAATTTTTTTTGCATAATAATATTGAATATTTATCTCCAAATAGTTATTTTGGTGTCGAGTGGCTGCATCTATTTTAACATAAATAAATTTCTGTAACATTATTTCTTTTATTTTAGCTTCTATTTTTTTTCAGCAAATTCATTAATCAAATTACGTACAGAATTGTGTCTGGTACTGAATCCAAGAGTTTTACCTAATTGGTCTGTAACCAACTGAAATCTTTTATCCACAAATGTTTTCAACAAAACTCTGTTATTCACTACCATTTTAATAATTCCAATTTTAAAAGCAATAACAAAATAATCTAAAGTAATGTGTTTAGTTTTTTTAGTATTGAAATCTTGTGAATGTGATAAAATAATTTTGAAGATTTTCTTTGGGCTATAAGGCTCATTTTAGATTCAACAATTTTATATTCTGATAGATGTGGTTTTTCCAAATGCCGTTTCATATTGTAAACTTTTGATTTTTTTATTTGCATGGCGCATAAAATCACTTTATCATTTAACTTTTCTGTAATCTTACATGTAACCAGTTTTGTAGTTTTATCAATTGAAAAATACTAATTAGAAACCTCTCAGGATCGTTTGAGTTTGAAAGTACTTTTATAAAAAACTATGATAATAAAGTAAATGACAAATTTTAAAGATAAGAGAAATAATAAAAAAGATAAACAAAAATAATATAAAAAAAAACGTTTAAATCTTTTTATAATTTTATTTGGAACTCACATGTTTATATCTATTTTGAAAATGTTTCAACTAATTAAAAGTGTTAAAACAAATCATGTGACTTAACACATAGACAAAGTATTTTTTCGTTATGTATCGTCCATAAAGTACGTGCATAAAGGATTATACATAAGGTACACTTATCATACTCTGCAATGACATCTACATGACATCTTACACAAAATACATGAATCTTACACAAAATAATTGGATAAAAATTAAATTCTGAAAAAAAAAAATTTATTTTTGTTTTTTTTATAAATCTTATGAAAAAATGCATTTAGAAATTATAATTATTTTAATGAGCGTAATTGTTTAAATTCTGAAAAAAAATTTCATTATATAAAATAATAACTTTATGGAAATTTGATATTTCAAATTATCAAAAGGGTGGAATTGGCTTGGAGCTAGCTCCAGAGCCTGCGCCGGCAGGAAATATTTTAGCTCCAGCTCCGGCTCAGCTCCATATAAAATCACTAGCTCCGGATAGCTCCGGCTCCAGCTACGGAGCTGCTCTAGCAGCTTTATACTTTAGCGAGAAATAAACTAAAAGCTCATTTTCAACAAATTGAGATTTACTAGTTCGACAATTTTAAAAACCTGTTTACATTGAATTTTTTGTTTTTATCAGTGACTGAAAGAATTATTTTCTAATTTTTAAAGCTGATTTTCACTGATTTTTTTTTTTTTTTTTTGGTTTAGAGGTGCAAAATTTTTTGCTGATAACAAGTAAAAATTAATAAACAAGGGAGGGCAGGGGGTTTTAATAAGCTTAGGGAGGGTGGGAAAATTTTCCAAAAATTAATAAACGCCTCCCCCCCTTTTTTATTAAGGACTCAAGAGTATTGTAGTAACTAACCTTAAATAACTTAATAGCATGTCTATATTCATTCACGTCACATAGTGCAACCATGGCACCTGAAAATATTTAAAGTGATTAAAATTCAAATTATTAATGAAATAAAAAGTTACAACCAATTATGGAAACTCCAAAAGTTGACTCTAGGATTAAAGATTTTCATATCCATTAACTTACCTCATCATAAACCTTAATTTACCTGGATATAATGGTAATCTAAGATTTCTTAACTTATAGAAAATTTTTTTTTTTAAGTGTTAAAAAAAGAGTTAAAAATTATAAAAAAAATTTTTTTTTAAGAGTTCTAACCTATCAAATTTAAAAGTCTCTGATTAAAAAATGCATACAAATCATCATCAGCATAAACTACAGGTTAAAATAATGAATATTTAGCCCTAAATCCAAAAGTCTTTTTAAGGCTTCCCTGGTTACAACTAATCTTGTCTCAATAAAATATTATAAATATTAATCTTTAGTATTTTTTACCTATATCTGTGTAAGTGAACTGAAAGAAATGTTCCATAAGTACTTTATGAAAGCGTGTTCCTAATTCAATTAAAACAACTTCTAGATTTTTTCCATCCAATGCATCATAAAGACTTGGTACCAATGTTTTTATATAGCGGCAGCATGATATGCATGCCTAAAAAAAACTTGACAAATAAAAAAAATAACAAAGTATAAACTACCACAATTATGTTATATGGACTTAATATTTTACGGAAGTTTTTTTACATAAATGACTCACAGAAGTTTGGGTCATTGCACCATCTTCTCCATCTGGTCGAAAGTCAGACTTTTTCTGCTCCGAATTTAACAAAAACTTCATGTAATTAACCATACTTGACAAAACTCTAAAATTATATTTATTGATGTTAAACTAAGCAACACATATCAGGAAATTTTTTTTAAATAAAATTATATTTTCCAATATATTTTTATAAAACAAGTTAACAATACCGTTCCATTCCACTGTTTAATTTAGACTCAAGGTTGTCAACAAGCTGTTTTTTTTTTAGTGCACACTCACCATATATAGTTGATGACCTAAAAAAAAGCACAAATAAATTATGAAGAATTAATAAAAAACCAAACTATACAATGCAAGTAAGAAAGAGTAACTTTTAAAAATTTGCAGATTTGATTAAAATACATTGGATACATACCCACACATACACACAGGGGTGTACCCTCATGGTCGTCCGGTGGCACGGGACAACTCCTTTTTTTCCAAGGACGACTGAAATTTAAAAAAAAAAATGCCTGTCAGTAGCCCGGCAGGACGACCAGACAGTTTGTTACTTACAAAACTGTGTTAATTAATAAAACCATATTTTGATCCATGAAGATTTTATTCCTTGCGATTATTCTGAAGAAAGCTTTAAAAAGCATTTAAAGTAGTTTAACAATGAGTTCACTATGGTGCGTTATAATTTTTTATGAGTTATAATATGGTGCGTTATAATTTCACCAAATTTAACAAAAAGTAGTCGACACACGATTTAATATTTCGAAGTGCAACTGTACTGTTTATTTAAACATTGTTGTTATGTTTAAAATGAGTTTTAAAATTGCATTTTTTTTTATTTCCAAATGCAATTGTATCATTTTTCAAACCTTTCAGTCCATTTTGAATCACATTAATGGGCAGTTTAATCATTAATAATGCTGAATCTATTGTTTTTCATTAGTAAAATTAACTTTTACTTAAGCTTTTGTCATTAAAATTAACAAAGTAAAAAACATTATTAAGATGCACATGAAAAAAATGATTAAAATATTATTCATTATTAGAACGCAATTAATAATGCTCTTGGAAATTCTTTGTTCCTAAAAAAAAAGTGTTAGTATAATGAAAAATGTTTAAAAAATTAAAAATATTGTTTTAAAAATTCAACTAAATTAATTTGATTGAAGTTTGAGAGAGAATAATAGAATATTTTTCTATATATAAAACATTTCTTTGCAGTTTTGGCTTTCAACATTTTTGCTTCATGTAATGAAACCTTTGTTAAGATTGACAAAAAGAAACAAAATGATATTGACTATGACAAAAATGACAACTCATCTTTAATAAATTTTATTGATAACTATTATTAAATAAATTTCTTATTAAACGAATTTTAGTAGTCAGATGTTTAAATTTTTTTCTTCAGTATTTTCACCCGAGAAAAAAAAAAACAAAAACTAAAAACTTTTACACCAGACTACTGATTATCATTGCGGATGACTCAAATGAGAAATAAAAACTGTATTAGTCACCCGCAGGATGACCAGGAAAAACCAGAGGATGCAACACTGACACACACACAAGCACACATATAATTAATCGTTTTCTACAATATTTGTATTACTGAATAATTTATACTAATTTTCCCATTTAAAACATGAATCAAAAAAATCATATATGTATTAATTTTTTTCAAAAACATTCTTCTATTTCAATGAGATTTTGATTAATATAGTATATTGGAAACTTTTGTAACCTGTTCAAGGATATAATGATAATACTAATATGACATGTTTTGAACATCTGTCTGGTAACAAATAACAAGCTATTGTGTCAATTATTAAATCCATAAATAAGATGCTTTAATTAATATATTGACTATGGGAACCTAAAGGCAGAAAATAATAAATTTTTGGTCTACCATTCTTTATTTACTTTCTAATAAATGATTTAACTTTATATCTAATAAAATGTTACGTACAACTTTAATTAGGACAGTTACAAAGTTTTCTCTTTAGTCAGTTTAATAGCACTAATTGTTCAAGATAACAATGTTATAGACCATCATTTCAAAACACAGTACTTTAAAAAAAAAAAAACACGTCTGTAAGTTAGTATTTCTATATTACAATAAAACACATCAGCAAGTTATGTATTTACATATGACAATAAAAAATTTTCTGTCTGCTTCCAATAGCAGAACCGAAAATTTTAAAGCACAGAGTAAAAAAACATAAAAATGGAAAAATTAATGAAACTTTAAAAAATTAATGATTTTTAATTGTATAAAGTTATGAAACAGGCTTTTCTAATTATTTATCTCAGATATAAGGTACCAGCTTTCTTTTTTTTAAATTTCAAATTGTTTTTTAAATCATAATTTTAAAATATATAAATGATATTTATTCTTACTTATTATTTATAGCAACCTACTGGTATTACACAATTTTGTTATTTTATTCATTTATATAAATGTATGAAATGATATTACATAGAACTTCATTAATTTTTAGAATTTCATTAAAACAATTATTTCAAAATCTAATTGTACTAAACCAATCATACTTATTTTTTAAACTTGGAATTTTATTAAAAAATTATAAAAATTCATTAGTATAAAAAAAGTAAACAAGGTTTTTATTTTTCACTTGTATTAAAAATTAAAAAAATATTTAAATTAAAATTTTTAAAGTATTTAACATTTAAAGATCAAAAAATAAAACAACTCACCCTACAGTTCTTACTATAAAATCTGTGAAATGTTTCTCAATTAAATGAAAAATAGTATTTGATTGATACAACACAGTGAGAAACCTAATGTCTGGTGGTGTTTTTGGTTCAATTGGTGGTAAATCTACAATATAAGAATAATAGAAAAACTAACAAAGTATTTTTACATTAGGATTACATACATATATACATACATACATACATACATACACACATACATAGATACACACATACATACATACATACATACATACATACATACATACATACATACATACATACATACATACATACATACATACATACATACATACATACATACATACATTAATACACATAAATATGCAAAATCTCTTGAACAGTCACTAAAACACAATATTTAAATTTGTGCACATATCTTTTAAGGTCTTATTACATAAAAGTTAAATGATTTGTAAAAAAAATTTTAACTTTATAATTACATTGCAAATGAACATCAACAGCATACTCAAAGTGCTCTTCTCCAAGATATTTTAAAAACAATTTAAAAATACGAAAAACATTGTTTGGTAATTCCGATAATGGAGATAACTAAAAATATATATATATATATGATGAATGAAGATGATAGTTTTATCTATTATTATTACATCAATTACCCTAGTCAACTAAATAGTTTTAATTGGTCTCAGAATTCTTATTATCACAGAATATTATAGGATTCTATAGGAATTTTTGAACTTTTACATGATAGATTGTTTTTAATTTAATATTTAAATTATTAGAATTTTTTTTCTCTTTTTATTAAGTGAAATCTTTGGTATTTGAATAAATGAAATTCTGATTGTTTACACCAGAGGAGAAAATGTTCCATAGAACTTCTATCATACAATTTTATTCTTATAGAAATTGTGTTGATATATTTGACATCCATAGAAGTTGTGCTAATATATTTAACATCCATAGAATTTCAATTTTTCAATTTATGTAGAAAATGTACAAAAATATTTTAATTTATGTAGAAAATGTATAAAAAAAAAGTCTATAAAATTTCTATAGACTACTAGAAAAAGTAAATTTGGAAAGGAATTTTAACTATAGAAATTTTAAATAATTCAACTACAAAGCATCTATAGTAAAAAGACACCAATGTAAGTATATATATATATATATATATATATATATATATATATATATATATATATATATATATATATATATATATATATATATATATATATATATATATATATATATATATATATATATATATATAAAAATACATAAATATATATATATATATATGTATATATATATATATATCTATATTTATATATATAAATATATATATATATATATATATATTTATATATTTTTATATATATATAAATATATATAAATATATATAAATATACATAAATATATAAATATATATATATATTTATATATTTATGTATATTTATATATATAAATATATATAAATATATATATATATATATATATATATATTTATGTATATTTATATATATAAATATATATAAATATATATATTTATATATATAAATATACATAAATATACATAAATATACATAAATATATATATATATATATATATATATATATATATATATATATATATATATATATATATATATATATATAAAACCCTCAGAAGGGCCCGCATTCGGCAATGCTGACCTAAAAGTGTTTAAGGTTGGAAAAAAATTGCCGACCTTGTTTCTCTGTCTTATATTAACCCCTTCGTGTTAAATTTTTTTTGCCGACCTTATGCTGACCTCTAATAGTTTAAGGTCTTCATTTTTTTAATTGCGAGGGTTGATATATATATATATATATATATATATATATATATATATATATATATATATATATATATATATCCTATACTAATATCGATTATGGTAAAAAACAGTTTTTAAAAACAATTTTTGTTTAAAAGTTACAAATCACTTTATCACAAAACCATTAAAACAATTGAGGAAACTAAGTTTTATTGTTTTTTAAAAAACCACAAAAACACAACTCAATGATTAGAATGTTGTTAGAATGTTCTATATATTCTTTGAACATAACCAGCAATATATACAATTGAAAGCAATAGATCTGCTTGAACTTTATCTGTAAATTCTAGCAAGTTATCTGCTTAAACTTTATCTTTAAATTCTGACAAGTTATCAAATTTTTTGCAGTCCTGCTTACATAAATTTCAAAATAATTATTACAAAAATGACCAGATAAAAATCAAATCTATTTCTAATCATTTGAAAAAGTTTTGCAATGATAGTTTGAGGAGTATTAAAAGCAGTTCCTGACAAAGTTTGCTGAAACCTTTTTCTAATGAATTGGTTATGAAACACTTCAGGACAATGTAGCCATTTTCACAATCCAAAGAACCCCTTTTTAAGTTAACTAACTCCTACATACATAAGGAATATATTCAGAAGTATCTTTTGTAAGCTGCGCAATACAACAATTTCAACCATATCCAAAAAGAACAGCAATCTTAATCAATGATGACTGCATGATGCATCTTATGCTTTTCAAAGACTAATTAAACAACAAAAACCTGTTCTTGTCATCTCTGCACCAAGGTGCAGAGATGATGAGATTCACTTTTAATTATCATTTTAAAAACTCAATCTTTCACATTTAGTTGATTGTTAATTGTTTCAATAATTGGTTTATATTGTTTTAAAAAAAAATCAGAATATAAACAACTGATTGGAATCATTTTTACTAAAAACACTGGTCCACCAAATAAACATTTTACAATTAAAGCTAACACCCTTCTAGCAAGGAGACTGGGTTGATCAGTAGAATGTCCGAGCAATCGGGTTCAAAAATAAAAAAAAACGAGAAAATAAAACAATCGGATTCCATAATAAGTTTATGTGGATTTGATACTTCATCAAACAGCAATAAACATGTTGTGTATTTTCAATACTAATAAAAAAAATTATCTTGTGATCTGACCTTGAAAGTCATTCTTGTAAAAGTTCTAATAGTTGATAATTTATACTTATTAGAAATATGGCTGTACAGTTTTATTAGAAATATGGCTGTACAGTGACCTAGATATAGCAAAATACTCAAATACACAAGCAATTATATCAGAAGAGTAAGTAAATTAAACAAATTTTTTCTTAATACCAAATATTTTTATTTTTTAAGTATCAAATGATCTCATTAAAAAACAAAAAATACTTACAATATGTCCTTATAGAAGAATGAGAATATTGCTGATCTAACATGAAACAAGTTATAGAAGAATGAGAATATTGCTGATCTAACATGAAACAAGTTATAGAAGAATGAGAATATTGCTGATCTAACATGAAACAAGTTAAGACTAAATTCCTACTAATCGAAAACTTTGCAATACAACATACAAATTATTATCATTTATGTTGTATACTATAAGATCATCACTTTGCAAGAGCCTCTCCTTGATACTATTAAACACTTCATAAACATTAAATAAAACTTTTTAGTTGCTGTGTAAAAAATGGTACACACACTCACTGTGTGTACCATTTACCATTGTAAAACAATTGCTGAAAATTTGTGCTAAGACTAATTGCTGTAGAGTATTACCAATGCAAAACAAAAATAATTCAATTCCATGTTAGTCTAGCCATATACAATCAACTGCCAGTAGAAAGATATCATGTTGCCAAGACATGTATTTCTATAATCCCACGCATTTGATATATTTTATAATTTATCTTAATGATTCTGCAAAAAACGTCAGAATTGATGAACTTAAAGATTTTCTAACTTAGCTTAGATATTGCAAAATATATTAGTATATTAACAATATTTTTATCTCTTGAATAATTTTTTGTAATATTACATTTTATTTTTAGGAAATCATAAAACACTACAACATAATAATTACTTGAAGTATATAAAATTTATAAGGCTTCCTCATAATAATCAGTGCAACTTTCTTTTTGGGGGAGGAACAAATACAACTTTGACCACAAACTTCAGAGTTGTTGCTCTTCAACCATCAGTTATTTTTAAATAAAAATTTAGTTTTTTTATGAAACTTTCAGTTTTGGTAATAATTCATGCCAAACTTTTTTTTTTTTTTTGTATAAAAGATTTTTTTAAGTCTTTTTTTTGTAAACAAAAAAAGAGTTATAAAAAAAGGTAAACAAAAAACAAAAATAGTAAAAAAGGTTGTATTAAGTTAGTAAAAACTTTTTAAAAAAATATTTTTTTTTAATTATTTGCAGTTCAAATAATTAAAAATAATAGGTTTATCATTTCACTTTTACATAATTAAATACAAGAAATGTTAAAAAATAGGAAATATATAAAGAAATATATAAATGTTAGAAGGAAGTATATAAAGAAATGTTAGAAGAAAATATATAAAAAAATATTAGATGGAAATATATAAAAAAATGTTAGAAGGAAAAAAAAAAAAATATTGGAAGAAAATATATAAAGAAACTTCTAAAATTTTATTTTTATGTAGGTGAAAAGAATTTCTGCTTGATGACAGTAAATGACTGTTTATCAATTTCTTTATTTGATAATCCCAAAAATTGAAATAGCTGACTAACCTTTGAAATAACTGAAAATACTCACCATTTCAGCGCGTCGTATAGAAAGTTTATTCTCCTGAAGTAATGTTAGTGCAACATCTTGAGATAAAAGATTTTCTTTAAGCATGCTTTTGTCACGACCAGGAATTTTTTTGTGCAATTCCTTTAAGCTATCAGGTATTTCAGCAATAAAACTAAAAAAATCACAACCACATAAAATATAACCATATATAAAATTAAAAAAAAAACAAAAACAAAAACAGAACAACTAAAATTGAAATTAAATACTTTTGTCTAATCTCTTTTTTGACATGACCAATACTGTTGTAAAAACGATTAAGGGTTGAAATCGATTCCTCCTCTAAATACTGTAACTCGTCCCTTAAAGTAAGTTTTAAGGTCGATAAGACAAAATTAAATATGCTTAATTTAAAATGTAAATAAAAATATAGCTATTTACTCCCATCCTCAAAAATTCGTTTTTTAAAAAAAAAATTTTAAGTTATAAAAAATGTTTATTTGAAAAAAATTACTAAATGCTTTAAAATAAAAATTTAAACTTTAACAAAAATAAAAAAACAGTTTTATGTTTAGGAAAATACTTTAAAGCCCTTCCAAGAACTCCCTAAATAATACTTTATTTAGTACCTGATTAATATTCTAATTAGTTAATCAAAATAAACTTCAAAGTAATAAAACCTTAGAAAAATTATTTTCTAATATATTATATAAAAGCCATCTTTAGAAGTAATAGCCTAAAATGACAGCAGTGTTTCATACAAAGAGGAATAAGAGAAAAATCAGGAAGAAAATGGCAAGCACAATAAAGACAATCTTACTAGATAAAAACCTTACAATGGATTAAACATATGGTTTCCATAAGAAATCAGTTGTGAAAGATAATCTTAGATGTCAAAAAAGGTTCAGTAAAAATGAAGCAGTTATGAAGCATCAACAATTATTGCAATAATGATTAGCACAACTGAGATTAAAATTCACTGCCACAAGCTGTCACAGAAAAAAGATCACATTCAAAATTGCCTCCCTGTTCTAAGAAATTAAAAATAAACAAAATGAATTTCTGGTGTAACCTGTTTTTTTAATTGTAATTGAATATATGGGGCAATTTGAATAACATGACATAATAAAATTATAAAATTGAAATAAAATTGTAGAACCAAACAATTTTACTTTACAATTAAAATTGTAGAATCAAACAATTTTACATTTCATTTAAAATTGCAGACTCAAACAATTTTACTGTACAAATAAAATTGCAGAATCAAACAAGCAGTTTAACGCAAACACTTCAGTAATGCCTTTGTATAAATTTACATAAACAAATTTAAAATATTAATATTGTTTACATAATAAATAAGTCAACATAACAGCATAATAAAAAAGTTGTGACTTTAAGTTTCAATATTTGATATTAATGATTCAAGAATTTATTTGGTTTTTCCAATAAACATAATAATATTAAGAATTCATAAAATAAATTTTATGAATTCTTAATACTATTATGTTTATAAATTTTTGAAACAATACGAATCATTATGTTAAATGAATTTTTTTTTGTTGCTGTTGTTGTTAAACAAATAAAGTTTTATTAATAATACAAGTATTATTAATACTACAAATAAAAACTTTTTATCTCTTTAAGTAAACTTATTAACTTATAGTTAAATAAAAACTTTTTATCTCTTTAAGTGAACTTATTAACTTATAGTTAAATAAAAACTTTTTATCTCTTTAAGTGAACTTATTAACTTATAGTTAAATAGCTCTTAAGAAATACTAAACCTTATCAAAGGTAAACTCACTCAATGTAGCGCTTTAGGTAATTAGAAAACAAGGGCTTGGTAATTCTTTCAAGAAATGTGGAGTCTGATCCAAGTCTTAGTTTGCATAATTTTTTGTTGATTTCCTTTGTTCTACAAAAAAAAAAAAAAATTTCTTTAAATTCATTTTTTTAATTTATAATCAAGTCTTCTCAGGAAATGCGCACAGTCGCACATCTTATATGACCACGTATATAAAATTTTGTTTTGACATCTTGGACTCCTTGACTCCTTGCATGCTTTAAGTTAGCACATCTAAAAAATGCAGCTGAATAAACAAACGTAAATTTAAACTAAAATTAAAAACAAATAAACTATAAATTAAATAAAAAATAAATAAATAAAAATATACTAAACTAAATTTAAAAATTAACCAATTATAAAATGAATAAAAAATTATGAAATTAAAATATTAACTAGAAAAAATAAGATCATAAAACAATATATGCTTTTATTTTAATCCAAAAGTCACTACAAAGAAAAAATGAATGAATTGAATGAAATAAAAAAATCTTATAAGTTACTTAATCCTTTAATACTTTAAAGCTTAATGATTTAAAAATTTGAAAATAATATTTTTGAATGTCTACAAAACAAATAAAACATAGAAAATTGATCCCTCAACCAATGCCGATATAACAGTCGCACCTCATAAATGACACAATTAATCAACCTATGCATTATATCAACTGGTGATATAGGAAAAATTGTTAGCTTTAAAATATTAAATGAAATGCTTTTAAATCAATTAAGTTTGAATTATTAATAGACACTTTTAAATTCAAAAATATTTTGAGAAACTATTCACCAAAATCAATTCTATAAGTTTACCTGCCATAAAGATATGATAATTTTTTTAAATATGTTTCTTCTTCCATTTTATTAGGCAATTGCTTGTAAATATAACCCTACAATATAGTAATATATTTTACAAACAATAAGCAATATTGTAACATAAAAATTAGTTTATTTTTTGGGATATATATATATATATATATATATATATATATATATATATATATATATATATATATATATATATATATAAAAACACATATATACATACACATATAAGCGCGTTAATAAACCAGACCAGAAAAAGTTTACAAAGTTAAATAATTTATTTTCTTCTTATATGCCTGCCCAAATCAAACCCTCAGTTGATGTAGCAGCACTCCCTTGCGAGTCAGGCTATTTGTTAGTCCATGTAGGACCATTCCGTTGCGAGTCAGGCTATAAGATAGTCGATGTAGCAACACTCCCTTGTAGCAGCAGGCTATAATTTAGTCAATGAAGGAATGCTCCGTGCACGTTTTAAAAATATATTTTAATAAAATAACAACAAAAACACCATCAATTAAACTTTCTAGTCATTATTATTGCTGTTTTTTTAAAAAACAATAAAATTTAATGTACTTCCGCATTAATTTAATTTAATTAAAAATTATTTTACAATAACAGTGATTTTAAGTTAAGTATAAAAATGCATTATTTCAACTGTTTTGTTTTATATTAACATGTTTGGCATCAACTTTGATACCATTATCGGTATCAACTTTGATTCCATTATAATCCTGAACTAATTACTAATATCATCTGATAGGTAACCAAATAATATTGGTTAACATAAACAAAACATTTAAATTTTGGATCAAATTATATATTCAATTATTTTCAAAAATTATTAAATTAAAAAAAAAATGCAGGGAAAAAACAGGGATAGGAAATTTTTTACTATGAATACAGTTGTAACTTTATATTTATAAAATTTGTAGTTACTTTCTCCTATTTAAAAGTATTAAGAGATGATTATTGTGAATGTTGACGACTTGATCTGCAATTACTGAATGTAAAACAAATAAATGTACAGTGGTGCAAACCTAGAGCTTCCAAAAAATTCTTTTTCTGAACTGGTAGAGTATAAAAAAAGTTATAATGAAAAATTGGTTTTGTAAATTTACTATTAAATGTCAAAATGTGGCAAACACAACTGATGCAATTGATTTAATGATACACAAACAAAGTTGGTGGTTGGTTAACCCAATACCTAAAGCTTTGGAACGCTAACAATTTTCAACACATATTTGGGCATATTAAGTCATTGAAATCTTTAAAAGCAGAACAAGCTGCCAAAGATGAACAGCAAGAATTTCTTTTACATGCAGTACAACACCACTTACATGAATAATAAAAATAAACAAGAAATTCATGAACTTAATTTTTGAAAATTCAAACTTGCCTTTTCCATTTTTTTAAATCAAAATGCCTTTTTTATTATTAATACCTTTCAAGTATTGTTATTTTGTTGATATAATGTTTATAAGATTGAATTTTGAATTTCTTAGTACTTAGTTCCAGCTTAGTCCCAGTTAGAGTTGATATTTTCAATTTCAATCATTTGGCATTTGGTATGCTGGTCTTCTCATAAACTTTCTTCTTACGGTGTATCTGGTAACATCTTTAAGATTATTGAATCCTTCCTTTCCAATCGAAGTATAAAAGTAGTCCTTGATGGACAGCACTCTTCTTCTTGTTCTGTGACTGCAGGGGCTCCTCAAGGTTCAATCCTTGGCCCTATACTCTTTTTAATTCACATTAACGATCTTTCAGATATTCTCACGGCTAAGGTGGCATTGTTTGCTGATGATACTACCATTTATTCTTGTCATGATAAGAACACCCTCTGATTGCTTGGAGGGGGCATTTGTTCACAGTGGGAGGGGTCATGGGGCTCACAGTGGCTGGTGAACTTTGATTCAGATAAAACTTAATTTTTTTCAGCCAATCGTTATCGCAATTTAGATCTTCCTATATTTATGAACGGTAATGTACTTGATGAGTCATCTACCCTTCATCTTCTAGGATTCACTCTTACTTCTGATCTTTCTTGGAAACCATATATTAAATCCGTTGCAAAACTAGCATCTACTAAAGTTGCATCTCTTTGTCGAGCTCCACACTTTCTTACTCTGGATTCTATTCTCTATCTCTATAAATCTCAAATCCGACCTTGTATGGAGTACTGTTGCCATATCTGGGGCGTAACTTCTAATGATGTCCTTTCTCTTTTAGATAAGGTGCAAATAGGCATTGTAAACATAGTTGGACCTGCTCTTGCAGCCAACCTTCAACCATTATCACATCGCTGTAATGTTGCTCCTCTTTCTCTTTTCTACAAATACTATAATAAGCACTGCTCAAAAGAGCTAGTGTTTCTTGTGCCATCTACTAAAATTTACTATCATGTTACTTGTCATTCAATTAAGTCTCATCCTTTTTCTGTTACTGTTCCTAAGTGCTCCAAAAACTCTTACTTGTCTAGTTTTTTTCCTCGAACATCAGTTTTTTAGAATTTGCTTCCTTCATCTTGCTTTCCTGATTCATATAAATTGCAATCGTTTAAATCAT